GCGCCAAAAGTGAACAGACTGAGGTTTCAGTTCGCCATAAGCCCTCAGGCTGGGATGACCATGGATGCTGAGAGCAGCCCCCCAGCACGAAAGCCACCCAAGAGGCATGTGATCAGGAGCTGCAGTGAGACAGTCGCAGAGCCCAGAGCAGGGAAACGAGACGCCCACCGTCTTTAGCCCTGGCCTGAGCGCCCCGGACCCCTGGGTTGTATTTCAGACGCCTCTCTCTGAGACCACGCTACAGCCATGCCCACGTGCGGAGGAGCATAACCAGGCGGGAGGGGAAGGGTGTCCCCACAGCAGCTCTGCCCAACGAGACACCGCATTTCTCTGTACCCCGTCCGGCGTTCCCTCCCATCCCCCATGAGATCTGCCGGCTGTGAATGTCAGGCAGTGCTGAAATGTCACAGATGTCACTGTTTCGGGGGCTGGCAAGGCCTCCTGTAAAAGACCTGTGAATTTAAACCCTCCCCGCTCCCGCCGCACGCCATGACCTTAAAAGCGAAGAAATGGCTAGCCCTTGATGGAAAAAGAAAATATTGGTTACTGTGGTCTGAATGTTTGTATCCCCCCAGGAGGTGCTTAGGTCACGAGGGTGGAGCTCAGGGATGAGTGTCTTATTGCAGAGGCTCAAGAAAGGTCCCTGTCCCTTTGACGTGAGGACACGTCTACGAGCCAGGAAGGCCAAGTCTGCCAGCATCCTGGTCTCGCACTTCCCAGCCTCCAGAACCATGAGAAAGAGATCCACGTGGCTTATCAGCTGCCTCGCTTAGGGTATTTTGTGAGAGCCGCCCGAATGGACCAAGACACTCGTTTTTAACTGTTCACTTTCCTACCACCTGCTTAAACTCTTAGAGTGTTCTAGAATAGTTTAAAACTGATGAAAAGTACCTCTCGATGGGAGGCCAGTGGTTCTCAACAGGGTACGATTTTTCCCCGGGCGACGTTAGGCAGTGCCTGGAGACATTTTTGATTAGCACAACTCGAGGGGGGCGGGGTGTTGCCAGCATCTAGTGGGCAGAGGCCGGGGATGGTGCTCACAGCTGGCCATGCACAGGCCAGCCTCTTACAACACAATGTCAACAGTGAGAAAGACGTGCTGAGCACATCATCCTGTATGCAGAGCATCGTTATCCTTTCATTATTCTAAGAACCTTGAACAGTATGCCAGGACTTGAGCCATAGCCTCTTTGTTCTCTTCGGCGGTGGGTGACAAGGAGGGATGGAGATTCAGGAGGGCGGGGAGCTAGGGAGGCAGACACCCCCCGCACAAGGGTGGAGCAGGCGGGCTGGGCCTGAGAGCCTGTTCTCCCGCTGGTCCTCAGGACTCTGCCTCGCCCTGCCTCTGCCAGACGCCCATCTACAAGCCTGGCGTTTATCTTCTCTCTCTTTGCACCCGAATTAATAGCAGTAGCTGTGAAAAGAGGCAATGGCTTACTGATAATATTCCAGTCACTTTGGTTTCTTGTCTTAATTACCTTCCTAATTTGCACTTTGGGTGGAACACCTGGGGTGTGAGCTCCAGTCAGCTATGTTTTCCTCTGCTCCTTTTCCACCCAGCGGGTTCTTTCTACCATCTGTTGATCTTAAGTATCTGCCTTAATTCTCTTATTTATGTTCTTTCCGCGTGGGTAATTTGTCTTGGTCTCTCATTAGTTTCTCTCCCGGGTATTATCCTACCTTCAGAGAAGGTAGCGACTGCGTTCCTTTTCCCCAAGGATCTCTCCTTCCCCTGGTGGGTGGTGGGGGGAGGCTTTGGCCCCCTCCCACAGGCAACTTGTGCTTTGGAAGCTGGTCTCACCCTAGGGCAGAGCCCAGAGGAGGAAGGGGCTCATTTTGCAATTCATCAGAGCAGGTTCCCTCACTGTTGGCCCAGGTACGGGGTGGGGGCAGAGGCACTATGCATTCACTTTGCTCCAAACCTCTTTGGGGTACGGATTCAGATACCAGCTCTTGCCACCCACACCTGGGAGAAAGCCAGAAGCCAGATCGGCAAATGGGTGGGGGTGGGGGAGAGTGGGGGCCTGAGATTCGAGGGCTGGCTCTGCTTCTTGAGGCTTGTGTCCCTTTGAGCAGATGCTTTTTCTCCTGCCTTAACTGGGTACTCCCCTGCCCAACCTCCCAGAGCCACTGAGGGCATTTATATAAGTCAGAGTACTGGGACTTTTGCCAAATAACAAGAAGGGCTTAGTTTGCTAATTAATATAGGTCCTGTGGCTCTGGGCCGCACTATCATTTACATTAAAATGACTAATTAGAGCAAAATCTTGAACAAAAGAGCAGAGCAACTGTTGTTTATAGTTTAGAGAAGGAAATTTTTTTCAGAGGAAGGGATATGCCCCTCTGGTGTCATAAAACACCCCTTAGTCCCTCCCTAGCTTTTGACACCTCTCCCCGGTGGGCCAGGGGTCCCTGGTGAAGCTCTTTGCCTTGGAAACCCACAGCTACCTCTGAGAGAGGGTTGAGGGGCTGTGTTAGCACAAAACAAAGTTGAGAACAGCAGGTTTGTAAACACTGGACTCTGATGGTAGGAGACTGGCCAGATGGAGGCATCTCAGATGTCCTCCAACTTTCTGAGATTCAGAAGATGCATTAAAAGGCTTCCCCCATCCTGCTGGAAAAGATGCCTGGAACCCCCAGACATATCCATCGCAGCCCGCACTGAAATCCAGCCCCTCCCCTAGGACACTCCTCCTTTGGGAAGCTTGTCAGATGCATCAGGCAAATCTGGAGATGCTGAACATGCGTCCAAAGCCCTCCCTGGAGCTGTGGCTTCCTCTCCAACCTCAGAGGACTTTTCCAAAAGAGACAGAAAAGAACGCACGGCCAGGGAGAGCGAAGAGCCTGGACCTCAGAACCGGAGCCCGCCTGGGCTCTCAGACCGGCTCCCCCTCCCCTTTCCTCTCCGATGTGGGAGCAGAGGTGACGATCCCCACCTTTACTTCATGCTTCTAGCCCGGCGTCTGGCCCACAGGTGGCCACCGGCCCCCCATTTTCAAAAGAAAGACCACAAAGACGCTAAGATCTTGAATACAAGGCCTGATTTAGAATCAGAGTCATCTCAGAGGAAAGACTTGCTGAATGAAGCCTCAGCCTTTGTGAAGAATTTACATCAGGAGCCTTAAAAATTGAGCAAACATAAATCCGTTTTTAAAAGCTTGATTTGAAACGTCTGGTTGCTCTGGCAGCGCGGACTTGGCTGGCCACCTCCGCCCCAGAGCTCATTAGAGGCACCGTCTTGGGCTTTTCAGTAGTCGGCTACGGTGTGAGCCGTGCGTGCCGGGAGGATGCTGCCTGGTTTTGGAAAGACACCCCCCCAAACCCCTAAATTCTGAGTCTGACAGTGGCCCAAGAGTCATGCCACGTCATCTGTGGGGTTTCCTGCACCTCTAGAGTCCTAGGATTCTGTATCCCATCATTGGTCATTATGAGAAACATGGGAAGATATCTGGTGGAGCATCAAAATCCCAAATTCTCAATCAGCAGCCTCCAGTGGCTATAGCCACCCGATAAGGTCCCCACAGGAGACTGAAGCACAGAGGGTAAACTGAGGCAAACAAAGAGCCCTTTATGCCTTAGCAGGGTCTTTGGACTCCAGACCCCACCGTGGTTTCTTGGTGAACCAGACTGGATTATAGGTGAGCTCTTAGGCCTTAACACAAGACAATTCTGAGCAATCCTTTGGTCTCCAGGTGTCCCCTAGAGTCATCATTGCAAGCCCAGCGTCCCTCGCCCACCCCAGCTAAACAGGACACAAAGGACAAAAAGAGGCATTTCAAGGAGACAGTGAATCCCAAAAGAAAACAAGCCCTTCTCACTCAGTAGATTTTTCCCCTCTTCCCGCTTTACAACACAAAAGTTCCTCCTGGCCCCAAAAGCCCTTGGTCTTGATTCTGACCAATATTGGTGGTCCTCTTTCCGGCCTTGATTCAGAGGGGTCTTTAAATTCTCCCACAGATATCAGAAAGTGTTTTTTGTTGTTGTTGTTGTTGTTGTTGTTGTTGTTTTAAGATTTTATTTATTTGACAGAGAGAGACACAGCGAGAGAGGGAACACACGCAGGGGGAGCGGGAGAGGGAGAAGCAGGCTTCCCGCCAAGCGGGGAGCCCGATGCGGGGCTCGATCCCCGACCTGAGAAGGCAGACCCTTAACGACTGAGCCACCCGGGCGCCCCAGAAAGTGTTTTAACATTGTGGGACGACCCCACTGATCCCGGGCCACTGGGACAGTTCCGTTTTTCCATAATCTCTCCCTCTCTGTCAGATACTCATAGACCAGCGTTGTCCTCCACATGTGATCCAAGTCGGGGTTTGGTAAGCTTGGCAGGCGCACTAGGCCCTCTGGAAAGGACTTGGGGAATCACCTTGTACATCCCCAAGCCTAAGCTAGACTATAGCCACGCCATCTCAGAGTAGACTGGGACAGTCTACCATTTCAAGATGGCTCCTCAAACATACGGGAAGACCTCACTGGGCTTCATCAGCCTTGGATATCTTGTCACTTGAGCTAATAAAACCCTATGTGTTTAGCTCGGGAGTCAGTCAGTCATCAAGCTCTTTCTGTAAAGGGCCAGACAGTAAATATTTTAGGTCTTTGGGCCATACGGTCTCTGTCACAACTACTCATCTCTGCTGATGTCATGCAAAACCAGCCATAGACAACTCGTCAACCGATAAGCATGGCTGTGTGCCAATGAAGCTTTATTTGTGAACACTAAAATTATATAGTTGTCATGTGTCATGAAATACTATTCTTTCTTTGATTTTTTTCCAATTATTTAAAAATGTAAAAATCATTCTTAGCTTACTAAGAACAAAAACAGGCAGTGGGCTAGATTTGGCCCCCAGACCATCGTTGGCCAAACCCCCAGTTGAAACTCCTGTTATGTGGATTTTCTGTTGCTGGCAGCCTCAGGCAGTCTCACCTGACACAGTGATGGTGATGTACCTTATTCGAAAATTGCTCCTAACCCCTTGTGGTTTTTTTTCTATGTGTTTCAGAGGGACTTGCTGTCGGCGTTGGATTTGGGGCTGTAGAAAAGACGGCATCAGCCACCTTCGAGAGTGCCAGGTAAGCCAGCACCCTAGAGCATGGCGCGGCATCCAGTGGTGCTCTGGAAATGCTTGTTACCTGGATGGGCACCCCCAGCCCCACTGGTGGAAGTGGGGGCAAGGTCAGGTGAGGCTTACCTGAGAGAGGAACTCCATCAAAGAAGCAGATGTACACCATTTGTCAGATGAGCTATCTAATGGGTAACCACTTTGAAAACACCCACATGCATATAATCACCTGCATCCCCCAAATCCTTTAAATGTATAAAGACTAAACACCAAAAACAAAACAAAAAAACAGAGCCAGCTCTGATGCTCTCACCTGCTCCCTCCTTTTAAAGCCCCCCCCCCCTTCTCTTTCTGGACACTGCACTTCCCTGCTTTCCCCCCTTAGTGTCTGTTCCTCTGCAGGTTCTCCTGCGGGCTTCTCATCCTGTGGCCCCTTCGGAAATGTTGATGTTGCCCAGGAGCCGTCGCTGGGTCTCCCTTTCTCCCCACTTGGTGCAGTCCCCTTGGGGAACCTTCTCCATTTCCAAGACTTTATTTTCCATCTGTTTTCTGGGGATGCCAACGTTGGTGTTCAGCCTAGATTGTTTGCCGGAGCTTAGTCCTCCAGGTCCAGCTCTCTTGCAGACACCTCCACTTAGGTGTTTCTCGGGATCCCCACATTCAGCTGATTGCCTCCATCTGCCATCTGGCAAAACCTGCCCCTCCTGCAGGCCTCCCCCGCACCGCCTGGCCCCCAGCTGACCAAACCAAATTCACTGCTATCCTCCACTCCTTATTTCCATAGGCAATCTTCCATAGGTAATCACCGTACCTTATAAATTCTTCTTCCCTTCTACCTCCCTGGTGTTACAAAGCGCCTAGATGAGGCTACAGCCTTGGGACCACAAAAGGGCTTATCCCTTAGCCATCATGGAGATGGGCTCTACACGGTCCCCCGTGCCTGCAAAACCATGAATACTACAGCCTCCGGGCTGGAGGAGAGCAGGGAGGAGCCTTCCATCCAAGGCTGGCAAAGTCAGGTGCCTTCAGGAGACTAAGGGGCAAGAAAACACGTGGACACAGTCATTGGGTGGAGACCGTTGGGAATGGTGAGGACGGAGGTGAATCTCAGCTAGGTGGTACGTGCACTATCGAAAGGCGCAATTATTTTAAAAATGAAACTCACGTTACAGAGATGGCCCAGGGGCCACTGGTTTCTGACCCCTGCATCTAGCTCATTTCACTGCCTTCTGATTGAGGCAACCTAAAAATCAACCCCCCGCCCCCCGCCTCCGCTGCCCCATGAGGCAACGGCCCCGCCTCCTCCGGGTTTCAACCCTGTGTCTATCCCCTGTGCTTGTCAGGAACTCGCTTCTCCCAGAGCCCCTTTCCCGTGCTTTCCGGCGGCCAAACCTGCGTGAAGCCTCTTTATGCCCCATCAACCTCCATGTCCCTTGGCCGACATGGGGCCCCTGGCTGTTAGGTGTAGCCTCTGCCCGTCTTTAAATTCTAATGCTGCATGTTAGGGGACATGTGTGCTCCTTGAAGCCCCAGATGTGTGTGTGGGCTGGCATGTTCCAAGTCGAAACTCCCCCTGTTCTCAGCTTCTCATTCCCGCCTGCCGGGCCCGCAAGTCACTCCAGCGTCGTCCGTTAACATGATGTCCATTGTGAAAACCAAATGAAAGGTAGATTGGGGGGGGGGCGCGGGGGAGAACTGTATGATGTGAGAAATGTCACCCAAATCAAGGGCGAATGGTGAATGATAATGCCCTGCAGACTGCTCTTCTTGCACGGGATGGGAGTGTGGCTCTGTGTCCCCTGCACAGCCGTGTTGATCTTGACCTCGCCTAGACCATGAGACACTTCCGAGTCAGCGGGAGCTAGGGAGGCACAGCAGCCCCGAGGGGCTGGCCCTGGAAGCATCCACAGGCCAGGTCCTCCCAGGGCACAGGCACCTCGCACGTTGCAGTAGGTCTGTGGCCCGCAGGTGACAGCCCTGGCCCCCGTCCCTGTGCTCACAGGCCAGGCCTTCGGTCCGGTGGCGCTGTGTCTCCTGGGACATGGAGATGTCAACTCAGATCGCCCTCTCTTCTATCACCTGTACTTTCTGCTCATCTTGATAAATATTTCTGAAGAAAGTAGAGCAAAAACCTTTCCAACCCAGCTCCTCCCTTCCCTTTGACCAAGCAGGCTCTCTCGGAGTTACATAAACCCTCCACAGGACCCTCCCCATCCCACTGGGAGTGAGCTGGGGCTGCAGGCCTCAGGATTTTCAGCCTCACAAAACCGTCTGCTGAATGAGCTGCCAGGCGGGGCTTGTGGGGGGCGATTCTCACGCCTCCGCACCGCACCCACCCCCCCAGCCACAGCCTGGGGGGCGGAGATGTTGGAGCTCTGGCACCATCACTGCTATGTCCAGAGGGTCTCCCTCAAGCAGACCCCACCCTTCAGCCCATTTTCCCCACCCAGAAATCCATATCTAGTTCGTGATTTGGGTTTCTCCTTAACAAATGCCTGTGATCATACCCTTGAGTGGGGAAAACTGCACAACAGCCCCCAGGCCAGGCTTGTGAGCTTTCTCGGCCCTTCGCTCACAGTTCAAATGAGTTTCCATGGGAGGATGGGGACCAGCGGGCGGTCGTCAAAAGGGAGCGAGGGAGGAGGAGAAAGAAAGCGACAGGCGAATAATGCCAGAGGGTGGGCTGCAAGGGCTAAGTCATCAGATGATTAAACACATCTCGTCAAAGAGACAGGTTTTGCTTGATAAAATTCCAGCTCTGTGTGCTACAGAAGGGGCTTGCTTCAGACATGACACGGGAAGGTTGGAAATAAAGGCATGAGCAAAGGTACAAGGTACGCGCTGACCAAAAGAAAGCCGGAATGGCAGTTTTAGAATCAGACAAAGCAGACTTTGAGGCAGAAAGCCGCATAAAGAATAAAGGTCAGTACTTCCCAAGAAGAGAAACCGCGCCCCAGGACTTTGTAACCCTGTGCATCTGTATGCACCTAGCAACGGTAAGTCTCAAACTGGTTAGGAATAATGGTCAGAATTGCAAGGAAAAAAAAAAAAGACAAAACCACCATCCTGGTGAGTGGTTATGATCCCCTCTCCGGCACTGAGAAAACAGGTGAAAAGTTAGCACCATGTCCATCACGGACGGATGCAGGGCCCCAACCTAGCGATTAGAAAACCTCCATTCTCTTTAAGCACACATGGGCGTGTTTCCCAAAATTGAGGAGAGGGCTGTGCCGCAGAGGTCAGAGCGCCCCCAAATCGATACTGTTCGGACCCCGGTCTGACTGCAGTGCGACATAACTGAAAATCACAGAAAAGATAGGCAAAGTAGTTGGTTAGTGGGCCATAAGGGAGGGATACAAACCCAATGTGTGTCTCTTCCCTCCCATTGGGGGCGCTTCCGAGAACGCAGGGTACTTCATCAGGAGTGTGGGGGCGGGCACCCCGGAGAGGTGGAGATGACAGAGGCAGGGGACACTGTGAACAAGTGCCCACATTGGTCCCCAAGGCGTTTTTAGGGCCAGGCGAGGATGGAGTTCACATGGTGCTTCCTAGAAGGCCAGCCTGACGGCTGAGGAAGCCCATCATTGAGCAAGAGGTTGGCAGCTAGGGTAGGTTCTGATGCAGGGACCTGACAAAACCCAAGAGGTGATTTGAACAGCGATCTGGCTCTGATGGGATAATTTTGGGGGGAAGGGGTAGACCAGTGTGAAGAATTCAGCCCTCGAACAGATCGGTAGTGACCACCCGCAGCCGTGCACCTGCATAGCTCCCAGGACGGCGAGGGAGGCGGTGACGGTGTGGGAATGAAGAGGGACCAGTGGGAGGGAGGAAGAGGTTTTCAGTGCAGAACCGCCCGATGGCAGCTGTCGGCTGATTTTGTTGTGTGGAAGGGAGAAGGGAGAATCAGGTTCGGGCAACAGGGAGATATAGGTAATCACGTGGCGCCGTGGAAGGGTCCCCAGGGAGGCAGTACGCATTTGCACGGACTTGGGAACAGAAGGTACCTGGCACGTGCCTGGGCTATGCATGGGTCAAGCTCGCTGCTGCACATTTCGTGCAGGGGGTCAGCAAACTGCAGCCCATGGGCCAGATCTGGCCCAACACCCGGTTCTGGAAATGGCATTTTCTTAGAACACAGCCAAAACCCGTGTGTTTTACATATCATCTGTCGCTCCTTCTGTGCTGTGATGGTTGAGTTGGGTAGTTGCCACAGAATCTCACTGCTGAAGGCTGAGAATATTTATTATTTGGCCCATTGCAGTGGAAGACCATAATTTTAGTCCAGATCTGTCATCAGACACTCTGACGCATGCCCGCTAACTTTTGTACGACCTCTTACTTGTGCCCTGTGTATAATGCATCTGGAAGCAGGAGGTTCTCTTCCCACCCACATGGTATCGCAGCCACCGGGAGAGAAGAGAAAGGTACAAAGAAATACTCCCTTGAAGGCACGCGCTTCAATTCTGACCTGGACTCGGGCAGGACACGGGTGTATGATTTGTGTTTGGCTTCTGCCACCTAGTGTTCGGTTGCTGTCACTTCACCTTTATGGCGCCCTCCCCAAGGCCCTCCTGAGCTCCCTCCACCTTTCCTTCCTCACTGGACAGCTTGCCTGGTGCTCTTCATCCGGAATTCAGCATCCCCCTGAATTACAAAGAATCTCAGGCCTCAAAGGGCAGCCCGTGGCTCAAGGGAAACACTGCTTTTTCTGATCTGGCCCCATAGCAATTTCTTCTGGTTTCACCACAAAGAAATTCTTCAGACCACATGTCCTTGGGGAGTTTGCTGCTTAAACAGTTTTCCTTTCTGAAGTGGCATTACCTCCAATGAACGTGTTCCCCAGAGAGGAAACATGCCCTCTGCTCTCACTCGACTCCGTGGCAGGTATAATTCAAACCAGCAGGGAGAGCGAAGTTACTTATGCACAAGCATTTTCCTTCACATAGCAATTCCTATTTAGGCTTTGACTCAGCACACCCGTTGGGAGGTGTCTGTCATCTTTGAACACAC